ATGTTTTTTAAGGTTCAGTGCCACTGCCCGGTATACCCTACACTGATCTTTTTTTAAGGTCAAGTGCCATTGCCCCGATTATACACGGAATTCTTTTCGCAATCCCCCCCCCCCCTTAAGCTCATCCAACGTGTACAGAATTTGCTGGAACCCCGACCGATAATTGTCGACAGTACCTCTCTGCATCAAAACGTTCTTTAAAGATAAAAATAAGAAATCCATTCTAACTGTCTTTACCGTAAAGCCTAATAATCAATTCTTAATTGCCCTAAGAATCATCCAAAGCTTAATTCTTTTATTAACACATTATCTCATTTATTGCAAAAGTTAGTTACCTTGTATGGGGCATTCATGGGATTTAGATATATACAAGTGTTTTTAGTTGTATTCATGAATTCAACTCACATATAAAATAGTTTTCAAATTAACTCTGTAAATGAAAAAAATTATTGTAAATAACAGATAGTTAATAACAAATAGTAGACAAGTAAAAATATAAATTTACTCAAAAAAAATACATAAATATAATTAAAAGAAAATTAAATAAAGTTGTGTGTTTACAGAGCAGCACTTCATCAGGGGACACACTGTCTGTAAACACACAGGAGCCTTTCTGTTGTTAGTGGCAAAGCCAAAACTAACAGTGCCCCGAGGCCCCTAATGAAAATTCAAGCATAAAGCCTAGGAGTAGAAACATGACTGTTATTTCCGTTTTTAAAAGCACTATATGTTGAGCCACCTCAGCTAGATTTGGCATGTGACATTTTTAGCGGCAATCATTGGTCGATTTTCTAGCGTTGCCACTCGGGGAGTTCTAATGCGGCATATTTTGTCGCCGTGTAAGAGAAATATATGAGTTTCATAGATAGGAGGAACCCGCAAGAGGAAGTGAAGGTCCTATCTTTCCGGTGGCAACAAAAAATGGGTTACTTTTCTCAAACAATGTGGCGTTTTTTTCTATCTGTTAAATCGCCAGTGTTCGTATGCATATTTGTAGTGATTTCACGTGCTGAAATTTTACTGCATGGAATAGAAATCTAATTTGTTGTGGTAAGTAAAAATTATTAATATATTAATTTTATATATTCATTTTTAACTAATTAAATATGAAAACACTAGGAGGCTTCGCCCCCTGCTCGTTGGCGCTCGCCAACTCCCGGAACTGCTTTCGCAGTTCATTTCGGATAGCTTCGCAATCTGATGCTCGCGCATTGGATACGTTCTTAACGTCTAGCTTTTGTATACTTTTTTGAACACTGAAGTTCCGGAAACTTTAACTGTAGGAAATACTAAACCTGTGCATTTCAATATTAATTTGAAATTGAAAACAGTTCACATATTTTTCTTAATCACACTATTCTAAATTTCAGTTGTTGAGAAAAGTAACTTTTGTTTTACAGTCTTCCCCACCAGAGGGTTAAAACCATGTGTTGTAAAACAATATGAAACAGTACTGAAAGCCAGATGTAAAGCATCGGCTTCGATGAAGATAATATGCTCACTACGTGCTCTTACGCGCCGAAGCCTATCAATTAAAACGTTTTATATAATATAGATCAGCCATATGATGCTCACTACGTGCTCTTGCGCGCCGAAGCCTTCCAATTAAATATGAAAACTTCTGCCAACGCGAGAAAAGAAATATCATCGGTTTTATTGATACATACGTATTAGCGTTTTATATAATACTAGGAGGCTTCGCCCCCTGCTCACTGGCGCTCGCCAACCCCCGGAAATGCTTTCGCAGTTCATTTCGGATTGCCTCGCAATCCGATGCTCGCTCATTGGATACGTTCTTAACGTCTAGCTGTTGTATACTTTTTTGAACACTGAAGTTCCGACCACTTTTCACCGTAGAAAATTATAAACTTGTGCATTTTAGTATTAATTTGAAATTGCAAACAGTTCACATATTTTTCTTAATCACACTATTCTAAATTTCAGTTGTTGAGAAAAGTAACTGTTGTAAGTTTTGTTTTAAAGTCTTATCCACCTGAGGGCTATAACCATGTGCTGTAAAACAATATGAAATAGTACTGAGCGCCGGATGTAAAGCATCGGCTTCGATGAAGAGAATTTTTTTGATAATTCGGTGAGAATTTACCCGATTAGACATATGATGTTCACTACGTGCTCTTGCTCGCCGAAGCCTATCAATTAAAACGTATTAACGTTTTATATAACATAGATTAGCCATATGATGCTCACTACGTGCTCTTGCGCGCCGAAGCCTATCAATTAAAAATGAAAACTGTTGCCAACGCGAGAAAAGAAATATCATCGGTTTTATTGATACATACGTA